CTTCCATTGCATTATATCAGCTCTTTATGACATTACGTCAAAACAATTTTACGTGGTGTAAAATGTTTATATATATATATATTTTCAACTCATTATTACATTATGTGCACTCTCTACTATTTGGTCTAAGTAGTTCATTACATGATGTGAATTTATCTTTAACTCAATATCAAGTCGTTATAATACGATGTCAGAATTTCATTACATTGTCTGAAAAAATTGTCACATGTGGTCAATTCTTTTACTACTTTATGCCCTCAATATGCTACATGACGACGTGAATCAATTTCATGATGTGAATTTGCCCTTACTTTTTGACAAATCGTTATTACGTTATGTCATTGTGTCTTTACATTGTGTCAAAAATGCTAAGCCTCTTGTCAGCATACATGTATCTAAGGCTATTTCATCTCATATCAGATGAGAAAAGCTCATGTCATACTGTGCGCACCCTTCTACATTATGTCGATTCACTATTACGTTATGCGAACACGGGTATCCTCGGCCTTTATATGAGCATAACGTATTTTCCGCATTCCGAAAGCACTAAAAATGGCGGGAGAGAAAACTGTCATAAAATAAATTCTCAGCGATTTGGGAATTGCATCTTTAAATGAAAACATTAAGCGAAAAATGATAGACAATCTTGAAACGTGCAAAGCCTTAACACTGCGACTGTGAATTAAAGTCACGTGTCGAAATTCAATGGCGTTTACTTTTATCTGATAATTAAATAAATCAAATATGAGTCGTGCAGCATTTTTTTTTCTTTTGAATTGCTTTTTTTTATGAAAATCTTAAACTTCTGATCTTACTCAGAACACTGTCATAAGTTTTTTTTATCAGTCTTTAACTCTCCTTTTTTAAAGTGTAAACACATCGATCGTATAAAACACGTGCACTGGCAGGAGGGGGGGGGGGCAGAAATCCCGCCCTACCATCTTCAGTCACCAAAATATACATAAAATTAATAAATTTATTAGTTTTACGTTGTAGATCATTGCATTACTTTCACATTAAGTTTAGCTGAATTAAATTGAAAACTTTTTCTGTATAAAACTATGAAGCCTGCCGGAGAGTTTTTCCGCTTTCCCCCTTTGGTCACCAACTCTATACCGTCCCCTTCTTTTTTCAAGATTTCCATATGCGCCACAAATATGTGCCCATGCATGCTCAATTGATTTAGATGAGGGACTAGTAGATTTTTGTAACAGAATTCTGGTCTTGGAATGGTTGAAAAAATTACAGTAACTAATTCCGTGACATAGCATTTATTTGAAAGAGGATGTCAGCCAGAAAAAAAAATTATTTACCCGAAAAAACTTGACAAGCCAAAAAAATTTGTCTAAGCCCGAAAATCCTATTTCGGAGAGGGGAGTCCGACTTCGATCAGTCCTATATTTTTTCAGTTATACTACATTACCCCTAGTGGACTATACTTCAACAATAAGTGGGGGTGGGGGCTGTACTTTCAATGAACATTACATTTTCTAAAATAAGGTTATGTCTGGGAAAAGAGGGGGGCTGATATTATGTGTCTATAATTCGTCCTACTCAATCGGGACCCCCCCCCCCCTCTTACCAGTCATTAAAACACGGTCGTCAACATTCATTATACTAGATATACAGCTTTCAGATAATGTAAATGTATTTTCACATCAGGTAATGAACTTTTGGAATCAACATGATAAAGAGTTAACACAATATAAGGATATTTTTTAAATCACATATGATAAGAAAGAGTTGACATAACGTAATTATATATCCACATCACGGAATGGAGTTTTGACATAATGTAATAAAGTGTTGATATAATATAAAGATATGTTCACATTATGTTATACACTTTTTACACCACGTAATAAAGCACTGACATAAAGGTAAGATGTGTTCACCTCACATCATGATGCTCTCGCCGTAAAATAAAGATAAATCCATATATATCACGTAATAATGCGTAAAATAAAGATAAATCCATATCACGTAATAATGCTTTGATATAATAGACATATACATTCTCAGGAATGGACTTTTGACTTCATGTAATGATAAGTTTAATTATAAAACACAATTTACTTGACGTAATGCAATTTTGACCTCACATATTAAAGAAATGAAATAATATAAAGAAACATTCATTTCACGTAATAAAGATTTAACACAATGTAAACATATTTTCACTTCACATAATGAACTTCCGACTTCAAGTTATAAAGTGCTGACATAATGGAAGAATGTCTTTACTTCATGTAATGTAGCATTGACATGATGTAAAGATATTTTTACACCACCCCATAAAAAATTGACATAACGTAAAGATATGTTCACATCACGTAATGATAGATTGACATAATGAATGCATAGATTTATGCTATAAGGCAGTGATGGCGTTCCATAGATAAGAATGAAAAACCACCTACAGCATATTGTACACCTATATGACTTTTGTGTTAAATTTCAACTTCAAATAACTAGGTCAATGACCAACTTTTCATGCTAGTGTCCCCTCAGTATTTCTCGGAAAATACCTCAATTTTCCACACTATGACTATTTTTTTCTTTACTCGCAAAATATTACGAGCAACAGAACTCTTTAAATAATGAGACATTATAGCAACAGAACAGCTTTGCTTCATAAAAAGAAAAGATTAGAATTTGGGCCATAAACTTAATAATTATTACCCTCCGAATTTCTTTTGTCATATTTATGTTTTTCCCCATTTTGAATTGAATATCTAAAAAAAATGATTGATAAGAACTTTAAATTATTTATAGCTCCAGGTTACGTTTGTTGCTCTAATCCTCATGGTATCAATATTATATGGGGTCAATGATCAAATTATTGAGATATGTTGTCTGGGATGGTGTTTGTTCATGTTTTTGAAATTCTTTATATCATAGCATTCTTTTAGACGAATTTCACATTCCTAAGAGTTATCTCCCGTTGTCGGCGTAACGCTCATTTTCCCAACTTTGTCCTTTGTAAGTTTCCTCTTAATATTTTTAAATTTCAAACGTTATAGTAAAATTTCGATCTGTACCTGTATTCCCAGAAAATGGGGCAACATAAAAAACATAATGGGCATATTCATGTAGATTTTATTTCTAGGATACTGACCCATAAAGTTGGTAAGGTTATAGAGGGAAAACAGCGTCTTACGCCGGTTGACCCCGGATTGACCCCGCAAAGGGGAATAACTTTTGTAAATGTGAAAGTCGTCATTTATTACAAGAATATTTATATAACTTTTAATAAATATTTTCAAAAAATATTTTTCTTATTTTTGTCTTTTCTATTCATTTAATATGTCACAAGCCTGCGTGGAAAAATAAACAGAAGTCAAGCAAATTCAGAAACATGGTCAATATGAAGAAGGCAAGTTTCTTGAAAAGCTATTTCTTATAACCATGGTTTAGGATAAGTTTTCCCTGATGCAAAACCAAGGGTTGAAGTCGTCGTATTTCCACTTGTAGTCATGTTGTATTCTACTGTGAGATGCAAACAAAAGCAATTTCAATAGACGTTTGAGGAAACCTCATTTTAAAAAACTATACTCAATGTAACGTAATTGCGACGCGGCAATCCAAAGAATCCTTTACATTTCTTAAATCTTTTTGGTAGAAGTTTCGTTCATCTAAACGCTCAGCTGACCTTCTAGAACCCGACTTGCTTAATGGCGGAGTTCACGGAGACGCCCCGCCATCTTGGACACGCTTCAGATTTTTAAATGCGAATATCTAGTGTGTGGATTGATCAATTCTAAAATAAATTATATATTACCCCTTTCCAGTAGGGCCTCTATTAACATTAATTATATCAAAGAAAAATATTGAAAAACAAAAAAAGTTGAAAAAGTGCACATTTGAAATTCACTTCCTGTAGCGACCGGAAGTACTGACGACGCAAACGAAGGCAAAATTGCACATCTATAACTCATCGTCTATCATCTCTAACAAGTCTCCAGTTAATATCTTGAGCCGTTTTCGAGAACATTCGAAGACAAAATTGCATTTTAAAATCAGGAAATTGCCCATAACTTGGCAGTGGTAGCGTATTTTCCAACAAACGGAATTTTATATAAAATTCATATAGTGACCTATTATTCCTGAAATTTTCATTGAATTCCACCGAATAGTTTACGAGAAATCGCCTGCACAAAATTTTGTCTAAAAAAAAAGAATAATAATAATAATAATAATAATAATAATAATAAGAAACAGTAGAATCACTATAAGGTCTTCCGTGAAGACGGAAGACCTTAATAATAAGAAACAATAGAATCACTATAAGGTCTTCCGTGAAGACGGAAGACCTTAATAAAAAACAGAGTAAAAACAATATGTTCCCCAACTTCGTTTGGGGAACATAATAACGGCATGAGCATACAATGTTAGGGCTATCAATAAGCTACTTTGGTAAACATCCTGTGCATGCTTACTTGCAAAGAAATAATTAAATGTACATATAAAATCGTCATTGCCAAATTAAGATTTTATTATTAAGGGTAGATATCTGCCCATTTGAAAATAAGAAGCTTTATTTAAGGATCGAGAAATTATATACAATATAAAAATGTACACCGGGGAAAACTTTTCTATTTTTAAACCGAGAACCTCTATTTAATCATAGTTAAACGGATTTTTCACCTTTAACAAATTTTAAGGATTTTTTGAAGATGTTGAAATTACTTTTCCTGTGAACACTTTCATTCTTTTGCTCTTTTAAGTTATAACTAGTTTTCTTTATTCAAATGCATATAAATTTCTTCTCCAGGAATCCGGAAGCAAAGTTTGGTTGGTATTTAATTATGAGATGATGAAAAATAAACAACAAACACTCAACAAACTATATGCACGTACAATATTTGATCAGAACTATCAATAAAAATGATTTGACTGAAAACATTAACGATAAAAAAAAAAACTCTTCAATCACTATATGAATTTAACAATTTTGCAGAACAGTTAAAAATGACCTCCAAAAATTAAGATTTTTTAAAATGAACAATTATCTGAGCAGATCTGGCGATTCTCTCCTTCCTGCTGTGGAGGTCACGCAGCCCGTTGCTACACTAGATGACGGCCATTGGACAAAGCCTTACTTTGACTGTGGAGGGGGAAATGTGTGGATGGTGACGTATTCATCTCCGATATTTGGACTAGGACCAGACAAAAAGTCCGTTGTTTTCAGGTACATTTAGAGTATATCATGAGTTGAAGTATAACTCAAATCATTCCTTTATTAAAGTTATCTATATAAAGAATTATCCACTTGCTCTGTTTTATTGCACAAATGCAGAAAATTGATATCCTTTTCCAACTGTATGTAAGACGTTGCATCAGAATATATTTCTTACACTTCCAATTTAAAATTGGAAATCTTGTCATTCATGTACGAATCTCTACGTAAACCTGTAAATGACTATTAAATCCCTGTGTGTCCATACACTGATCACGATAATTTTTTTTTAAACCGAGGCAGGTTAAAGACATATGCTATTTCAAAAACCTTGTTAGCAAATATAACCTAGCGATAGGTCGTATTATGTTTTTCAATTGTTATGTTGTGTTTTTGGTAAACTTAATTTGACTTTATGTAATATTCCTTTTATATGAGTATTACATAGCACTCAACGTAGCTGGTCAACAGGGGATGTTTACTCCTCTAAGTACCTAAATCCACCTCTGGTGTTTCTATTGTGCATGTTGTATTTCCTGTTCACCAATTTGTATTGTTTGAAAATCAATGTTTTGCATATAAAACGGTTTATGGGGTTTTCTAATAACGTCTTTAAATCACACGATTTCGCATATTCATCATAAGATTACCGCATATAAATGAAAACATATAGATGAATCACAATTTTGCATGAAAATATTATTTTATCAATATGATGGTCACCGCGTTCGTTTCAAATGTAAATCAAAAGATTTTGCAAATAAATAAAATGATTATTGAAGATGGATCCCAATGAAGTTATGGTTAAAGTGTTTTTAAATTTGAAAAATAAGCATTTTGATTAATAAATGAGAGAAGATTTCGTTTAAAGATTACAAGTGAACAATGATGAATAAACTTTATAAACAATCAAACCTATTAGCACGCAAAAAGCTATCTTTAGCAATTGGTCAGGCAAAAGAAGTAATTCGTAGTCAAAATTCGCCATAAATTAAAAGCCTAACAAAACCTTGGGATCTGTTTTGCAAAATAAGACTGAACAGTTATAGGTTTTTATTCAAACAAGGTCTTCAAAACAACCAGAGATTTGTAATTGACGAGATTGAAGAGAATCATGTAGCATTAACTTTTGTCAGAAGCTTGCTTAAGTTGAAAAAACATCATACTCGGCATAGCTTTTGTGTACGAATCTGTTTGGAGTTATACATAAGCATAACTTGCAAGTGATCGTATTAGGTAAAAGAGAAGTTAACAATGGAAAAGTTGAAGTCGTTATGTTTTGTAAGCCGGTGCAAAAGTTTTCTATTAACGGCTATATAGTCAGTAAACATCCAGATATTTAATATTGAGATAAACTATTTCTTATTGCTAAAACGACGATCACATATCTAACTACTCTTCTTCAACAATAGTTTCTTTTTCTTATGCAGAAGCGCTAAAAAGTTTTTAACTAATTTTGCTTTATATAAAGATTAAAGATATAAAGCTAGTAGATTGGTACAATTAATGTGGACTTCTACACATTGTTGAAAAATTTGGTTTTCAAAGACCACCTTTTACGAAAATGTGTGAGGATATATATTGTTGAATACCATATATCGTATTATTCTTTTTAAGAATAGAGTTTAATACACAGTAATAAGATCAATGCAGTCTTTGTGGAAAACTAACGTTTAATTTATTTCGTAGCAATTTGAATTTTCATTTCTATCCTTACAATGTAGGGGCGTGGCAACTATTGACGTAGAACTCACTAACGTTGACGTAAATCAGTGTGACGTTGATACAATCTCGACAAAGAAGGGAATGTTTGACATCTTTAGAGGAACTCATCTCTGTCAACCTTCCACTACAGTAGGTTCTCATGTCTGTCCCTAAATCTACGTTTATTTAGTAAGCCATGTATTGATATATATATCTGCAATTTTTGCTGCAAAGAAATCTGGCTTCCTTATACTGCTTACATTTTTGTCTGTTTACTGATTTTTAGTGTGTTTTCACTCCTGGTCATGGGTTTGGTCGAGGAGCCTACATCTGTACATGCGCCAAAGGATATTATTTTCCATCTATAAAAGCCGAAGAGAAGTTCTACAATGGTTCCGACATTGAAAACACTTCCAGTAACAATATGACGTCACTTTCGCAGTACACGTGTACTCCTTGCGCGCCAGGTTGTGCTGTTTGCATAGATTCGTCGCCTTGTCTGTTCACGAGAAACATTGCAATGAAAGTGATAATTCTTGTGCTGACAATAATCGTCATATTCCTGATTCTTTTAGTATCAGCTTCGGTATACCGTTTGAGAGAGAATAAGGTAGTTTGTACACCTGCTTTTACTGTTTTCCCTTCTTTGTACAGGACGCTGTTTTGACTCTCTCATTTACTCTTAGGTATCATTGGTTACATGTAGCTAGAAAAAGTTGTATATTTTCTTTGTATTGAAATCATCGAGAGGTCAACTATGTAGATTAAGTGCATTCTTAGACAAACAAGATGTGTTTGTGAAACACTATGCGCCCGGCGGCAACAAAGTTCAAAAAACTATTTTAAGCAGATAAGTCACAGTCAGGGTCACAAGGTCATTGACCTTGATGTCATTTGGAAGAACATAATTAGTGAAGTAAGCATACCAAATATGAAGTCTCTATCTCTCATGGTTCAAAAGTTATGGTGAAAGTTCTAAAAAGCTTGCTATTTTTAGCATATAAGTCAGTCAAGGTCTCAAGGTCATGACCTTTGTGTCATTTAAAAGAGCTTTATTAGTGGAGTATGCATACCAAATATGAAGTCTCTGTCTCTCATAGTTCAAAAGTTATGGCGAAGGTTAAAGTTGACAACAGACAGACAGACAAACAGACAGGACAAAAACAATATACGCCTTGGATCTATCGATCCGGGGGCATAAAAATAAATGCATTCTCAAACAGTAAGAAGACCTAAAAATTTCATCACACACACAAAGTGGATGAGAATTTAGTCTTAAAGAATGTAAATCTATTAAGAATGACAATACATGTATTCTGTACATTATGTTCACAGTTACAATCTATAGTGTTTTTTCTTTTCTCTTAAAATTTTCAAAAGTAAAATGTCTTATTTCCTTTAAATGAAGTTTAAAAAGTACTGATACAAATTATTAAATATCATACGGTGAGCGCTATTGTATTAATTATATTTATCTTTGAAACAACACTACATTAAAATCTTTAATACAGAACTATATATATTACCTTTATTTCAGGTAATGAAGAGTGGGAGTCCTATATTTCTCCTTTTGATGTGCATTGGAGGTATCTTAATGTGTCTGCAGGTAAAATTATGTTTTATGAAGAGATTACTTGTCAATTTTTATGTAAAAAAATCTTTTTAAAGAAAATATTTTTCATGTAAAGCCATGATTCCACAAGCTCCATGGTCGATTCAATGACATTGTCAGCTAATACAAATCTATCATTAAGACAAAGGTTAACTGACATTTGTCATACTAATTATTAGCCGATTATTCAAACACTGAATTGACCTCATTTGTATTGTTTGAGTGGATATTTGAGCTTGAATACTGTTCATTATCGCTACATTTATTCCATTCTAATATACCTAATATCTGCTGCATTGATTTACCTATTACTTTGAAGCATTCCAATTTCATGACGTGGATTTTTATAAACACATTTCAACTGCTTCCTATTCTTATTACAAGAATATTAAAGGTGCATAGACACTGATTTGAGGTTAATTTTTTTTTCATCTAAAAGTTATTTATTAAACTTCTTTTGATAGGTTTGATTGACACATCACTGCACTCTCACAAATTTTAATTTTATTCTTAAAGGTGCATAGATACAGATTTTCTGTATAATATCACGACTTAATATATTGTAATAGCATTTCACAAAAAAATAATAAACATCCTATTGCGTCTTAAATTTATTGAAATGTCAGATTCTTGGATGGTTTTGATTGACACATCCTTGCACTTTCACGAATTTTAATTTCATTCTTAATACTTTATAAAACTGTCAACCTTGGTGTGTATTTATGAAAAATATTAAAACTTTAATCCAGAAAATTTAGAGTATATACCCGTCCAAAAGTTTCAATAACATTTAGATGAAATGAAAGATTTTTAATATATTTTAACATATTTTCGTGTGAAATGTTATTAAATTATATGAGTCGTAATATTATACAGAAAATATTAATTTCAAATCTGTGTCTACGCACCTTTCATTGTCTTTCATTGCACTGTCTATGTCTTTTATTAGAATATTAGTTTAACCGAGTCCAGAGAAGTAAAGTTTCTAGCAAGATAACCAATTCGGTAACAAAGAACGGCTACACAAAACAGTTTATAGTTTTATAAAGGAAATCTGTCACGAAACATTGCCAGAGAAGGGTGGTTTTCTAATCATACTATACTGATATGTATTTTTTAATACTTCAGGACGTAGGATATTAAAACTGTGTTAGAAATTTTGAAACATTTGATGCACGCTTCACGGTACATGTATGATGATTTATTATAATTTAGAATTAAAATGTCTCAGAAAATTATCAATGAGAAAGTTATATTATAAAGTACATATTCCACAATCACTTGCAAATATTGTTTAAGTCTTCGAGAAGATTTGATCCCCAAGGTCATATTTTGAGTATGACTTTGAAAAAAGTCAGAGTATATTGCAAATTCTCTAATGACCTTGTTGCAAAAACAATCTACAAGTATAGTTGGGTCGTATATTTCCACCCAGTTGATAAGCCCCTGTTTTCACACCTTTTTGGATTCCGGATTTATTTCCATACGTAATGCAGTGTTCACTGTGAATTTGACCAGTGCCAGGAGATGTCCTCCTAGACACGTGATCTTATCACTGGTGTTTCCAGGTATCATTGCTTTTGCCTTATTTGCAACTCTTTTTTCCTTATAGATTTCTGAGTTGAATCACACATCTTTGCATTTTTCATATGAGTACACTGTTTCTTAGGTTTTATTACTTCTATTATATAATAATATTTTTTTTACAGATGTTTGTGATGTTTCCTGACGCCAATGACATATTATGTACGATCCTACCATGGCTATATCATTTAGGATTTTTTCTGATGTATGGGGCACTCCTCTTAAAGACATGGAGGTGTGTCCAAGCTAACTATTATAACTGATAGATCAACAGAGCCAAAATTTGTAAATTAATTTAAAAATTAGATTTGTCAAGGATATTCAAATATACCAATGTTTGCCGGGGGACAATATGGTTTAATCTCTTCTTTGACAGAATATCTGTGATTTTTCGACGAGGACAGCTTAAAAAAGTACATATAACTGATAAAACCTTATTACGTCACATGGGGGTGATCCTTGCAGCTGTAATAGGGTATTTGGTGGCATGGACTGCAGCCAATGACGAAACTTCAAAAGTCGTGAAAACTTCCTCAGGATTAAAGTTTGTGATGTGCACAGACAATTGGTGGTCGTATTCCGCGTATGGAAGTGAGTACAGTAGCAAAGTACAGTACACATAAAGTATATATCTTTTGATAAAAAGAAACAGATTAATGTCTATCATTTAAAAAAAAATGTTCATAATGCCTTTGACTTTGGTGCTTTATCAGATTCTATTATATTGAATGTTAGCCACAGACAGAAAATCAAGTTTTATATAGTGAAACAATCGCAAATTGTTCCATTTTTTACCAGAATGGATGATTGCATTATGACATTGTTCAGTTTTGACAGCCTTTTACAAATAAGAACATAATTAATACCATCTTGGCATGTAATACAAGTGCATATCATTTTACCGCCATTAGTCCCTAGTTCTTCCACGCAATGGTCTATTTTTCTTGTCATCAGAGAAGAGAAAAACTATGTCACAAGAAGGTTTCTATTTGCGTTTAAGCCTGAAGATAACCACAATCTACTTGTCTATTGGCATAAGTACAGATGGTAAGACCCATGGGCTTATTATTCGAATACCAAGTTCCCTCTTTCCTGGAAAAGAAAAGGGCAGTGATCGAATTTCTGATGAACGACTTTTCTAGATTTATGAAAAAGTACCAGGTTCCACTTTCAAAAACGTAGAATTTGGTCGAGTCAATATTGATTATATCTTTGGTACTACATGTTTAAGCATATCTTTAAATTAATTGTAGGAAATGAAATTTCATACTTCGAAGATAATAATTTGTGGACTATATAAGTGAAAGTTTATCTTTCATGTTTTATATTACTGAGTAGTAATATTTGCTTTTATTTTTTTTTTTTTTACTAATTATAAAATTAAAGCTATTGTTTTCGAAACAAAGTCTGTATATTGAAATAGATACTATTTTAAAAATATTTTTATTTAATACAAGGATAAACTTGTATTGATATTTTTTTTTTGTTTGACAGTGGAAGTTCTAATGTTGTTGTTCGGAGTATACTTATGTTTCACGGTACACAAAGCCCCGGCATCCTTTAACGAAAGTAAGCACATTTCATGGTCCATTTACAACGCCATCATCGTCAGTACCTTCATCTTGATCGTCAAGTAAGATTCTGAAATGGGTATTTAATAATTATCAATAAACTTATTTTTGTTTAATTATTAGTTTTGTTTAATTCTAATCCACTTATTTTATAGTTTGATGATGATAAGGAAAAGTTATATCAAGTTTTCAGGATATTACAATGTATAAGAAAAGGTTTTCATAATTGTATATGCATTCATATACATTTATCTTCAGTTTCTCCACAGAATATCTATCCATTTGCACTTTACTTTTTACGAAAATAATCGTTAATCCAAGAGATTTTGTCTCTTTTTACAACCTGATTAAGATCAAGTTAGGTTAGGATCTTCCTTCTACAATCTGATTAAAATTAGATCCTTTGATCCGCTCATAAAGATCACTACACAAGTATCTGATTTCAATCAGATTGTTCCCATATAAGTATCTAAATAAAACTGAATTCCATTACTCTTTAAAGATATAGAATACATTTAACGTACTGCATCATGTGCCTGTATATTCAGATTTTTTCAGTTGCTTAATTATTATCAAATTATTCCAGTTACTTTACTGCTGAATCAGTAGGACCAGATTTGATATACGCCATGGTCTTTCTGAATTGTCAAGTTGTTGTGACAACGACAATAGCGATGATATTTCTACCAAAGGTATTTCCTCGGGAAAATTGTGACGTAACGTTTATTTATACCAAGGGAAAATGGATGTCCGCATAAAAAAGAATTTTTATTATAAGATATTTGTTCCGATCCAACTAGACCGCGTGTATTGATTAGACTGAATAACTACAGTAATTATTTGTATTTGTATATCACGAAAATATTTGTTTAAAACAACTACTAGTACTCTTATTGTTCTTATAATTTATCGTCATTTTGTCTCTTATCTTTCTATCCCACTTTTTTCAGTTTTATGCCGTTCATATGAAAGTAGAGGTTAAGCGAAGGGACAGTTTAAAAACTATTACAGGTAGGATGAAAACCTATACCAGCAGTGGCCAACATCGCTCTATAGCTGTCCAAACGATGATTACAGGGGAGGAAACGGTAAGTTATTTTTTTGGTAAGATTTAGGTTCCATTGTTAAATACTAGTATGTTACATGCAACAAAAATTGATAAGGCTTGGGTCAGCAACTCTATACTGCTTACGTACATTGTTGTAGGAGAACACGAGTATTAGGAAGAGAGAGCAAAAGGAGAGTAAGCCAGCAGATGATTTAGTAAATGGAAAATTTGAGAAGTTTGTGCCCTTTGTGTATATTCAAGGCAGTGTTGAGCGCAAAGAACCATGAGGGAAACCCTGTGTATACATCGAGCAAATCCGAAAATGGAGCATGAAGTGATAATGTTATTAGAATTGAACAATTTACTCTTGATTATCTTATTTTTGGTCTGTATTCTACCAGTTCCCGAAGAGACTTTCTGATAATAATTAATTATTCTAAACAATATTCTCGAATCATTTGACAAAATTTCATGCTTGATATCTTGTAATTCTGTTTATATCTTGTAATATTTTTCGATCATATATGTCACTAATTTTTATATTTATCAATGAATTAACTATTTTTATCTTTAAAAAAAGCTTGAATATGTGCATATTTAAAAAAAAAAAAACCCACAAATTTCGCAGAATTCATAATCTGCAGCATGCAAACCAAACCCTTATGATGAATTTCAATAGAAACTGATGTTCAATTTAACTTCCAGTTAGATAATAATGTAATATGATGTTGATACATATACGTCATAGTTTTCTTCATTTTGTTTAAGTGTCTTTGATGAAGATGAGAATTAGATCAAGAAAAACAAAACAGCACGCATTTTTCACAGGACACAGAATGACAAAAAAATCTTTCACTGGACACATCTCTAGATGTATCTGATTCTTCCTTTCGCTTGCATCCAATTTATCATGAAAGATCAGTGGATTATTCTGAACAAAAACTTACCCAATACATGTATTCCTTACATTTTACGTGATATTGCAAACATCTATCTTCTAAGTAGATATAAAAAAGGGTTAAATTCTTTATGCATAGTCAAATAAGTCACGGACAGAAATCTATTATTGTATTACTATACATTACGAAAGTAATCTATAATCCTCTCTGCAAATGTAAATCTTTGACCTTTTTTATCCCCGGCATTACAAATACTACATATTTAGTATGCTTAAAGTAGTAAATAAATTAATCTTTAAATAAATTTAGGACAGCTACAGGTGAAGGACTCGGTAACATATCTTGTATTACAATGAAAAGTACTAAAATTCTTCAATAGTTTATAGTCAAGATTTCCCAAAATCTATGGCCGAGACAATGGAACCTAGTCATCAAACACAATCTATGTCCAATGTTGGCTTACATTTTTCATACAAATTGTTATTCCATTATTTTCACACTGAATTGTCTACGGATTTTTACGTTTGTCCGATCATGACAAGGATCGCACGGCGGGTATGACCGATTGACAGGGAATGCTTTCTCTTCCACGGCATCTGATCCCATAATTGATGTTTTTCAAGATCTTGTTTTCTCTACTTCCAATATGTATCATTTCAATGGACTTTTGATCTTGATTTACTGTTTGCTATCTTCATATTTAATCGCACATAATGAGGACAAAGATAAGAAAGGTGGAACATTATTGTAACCTCACTGTCTAAGAAAGAAAGACGAAAATGAGGTTAAAAATCGTTTTCCTAATTTGCATATTTGGTGGACTTCGTGCATTACAAGAGGAAAAACGTCTCCTTGTAAATGACCCACAGATGATGGAGACGCAAATTGTTGAACTCCAAAGACAGGTCCAACTGCTGAAAGAAGAAATGACCAAAGTTACACAGAATAATAATTATGGCAAGTAATTTCAAGTGCTCACTTTGGACTGGAACTCTTAAGCTAATTCTTTGCATTGAGTTATCAATGCTTATCATTTTTCTTCAGGAACAACGTACACAATATGGGGAAAGAGAATATGTCCTCAACTGAGAAACACCACAACTCTGTACAGTGGTAAGTGAATCTTTCCTGAAAGGATCTTTTAATAGCCATTCTCTGTAACCACTTAAACTTCGTTGCCACGCATGGTCACCGATTTTGATGAAACTTCACCCATGCTTAGTACTTGACACCAGAAACAAATATCAAACAAAATTTCGTTGCTATGTGTCTCGGTTGCTATGGCAACAGCCGGAAAAGTTTGAAAAATCGAGATTTTCAGCCACTTTAAATCTTGACTGTGGCTTAATAAAAACTAGAAAAAGCAAACAAACCATTCTCACAAAAACATGACACCATGATGTCACTTATACTGTAAAGAAACTGTTTAGAATATATCTCTAAGTAAGTGGTAACCAAGGGTACATTTGGAATACATTTAAAATGCTGAAATATGCTGAAAAACACTCCGTATTCATTAATGGTAGGTGTTACATGCTCAAACTCAATCAACGACTTAAGAAAAACAATGAAAATGTTTGACCTTAAGTATATAAGTATAAGCAATATTATTCTATAAATAACTTTTATGGTTGCCATGGTAACACAGTGTAACCATGCAAAACCAGTAACTAAGACTGGGTTAATGCTACTGTCTTGAGGAAAAACATGAAAATTCAAGACTTGCAAATATGCATCCTTAGGACCTTGCAACACCAAAACCATAAGAAAAATTGGGTACAATTGCTACTTTGCAGTGTTACCATGGAAACAGAGTACCAGTGCTTAAAAGTGAATTATTTTTCGCTGCATTAAGAATTAAATTGCCATTTAATCAAGAAACAAATTAAAGGACTCAGCTTGAATAGTACTTATCTGTTAGAACTAAAGTTGAATATCATATATTGATAAAATTTGATGAATAAAACAACACTGTTACTATGGTTACCAAGAAGGGAAAATGTTCGATTTTGTGAACTTTATATCAATATGAAACCCTGTGTGCCAACTTCTTGCATCCACTTAGAGATTGGATGATCGTCAAAATTAAAAGTCAAGTTAGCTGTTGATAAATATCAATCACAAAAGTTTTGGGAATCTACATTTAAGGGTACGTATCCAAGGAAACAAAATATTTTTCAGGTTTTTAAGCATATATTTTCTGCTTATTTCCATAGCAACGCTCTATTTAAAGAATCTAATCTGAATTTTTTCAAATGGGAAAACTTGGAGCACACCAACATCTTGTAAAATTGATCATTAGTTATGAGGAAATGTGCTTTTTTAAAAGATAGGATCAGATTTAAACACGCAGAGAGTTACTTTGAAGGCTCTCTGTGGTATAAAAACCTTGGCAACCATTGCCAACCAAAATGAAATATCATATTTTGTTCTTGGTATATGTTTCAAGGCTCTTTTTTCTATTATTTGGTCACATTTTATCCTATAATTGCTTTTTATTTTTACGTGTATGACTTTATAAAATTCAATAAATATTTTTTTAACTTTTGAATGCTTTGTTACCATAGTAACATATGTAATAGTTGATTTACCAAAGATGTTTATCATGCATTTGAGACATCTGACCTTCAACTTTTGGAAACAATCATTGCCAATTGTTTGCTTTGCCGCAAATGTTAACTATGGGGCTCTAAACATGTTAAAAAGTGCCATTTTTCGAACTTTAAGACATGTTGCCATGGTAACTATAAAACATAGCAACCAATTTTTGCCTGATTTCAGTTTAGGGTATCAAAGACTTTTATCATAGAGAGTTTGGAGAAATTCTGAGACTATGCGTGCCACAGCTCCTATATAAAATTTCAAATCATTACAGAGAATGGCTCTTAATATATAAATAGAATTATATATACTATATTGCATCATACTAGTATCAGTTAAGTTTTCAGCAAATTGCAAACTTGTTGTTATGCAATTGATGACATTAATGTCTTAAGTAACTCGAAGCAAAGCCGACAATCCGATGGTATGAAATATGCCTAGATATCAGTCATTTGTACAAAACGTTGTTTTTTAAACATTTTTTAATAAAATTCATTTTTGTTTCAATTTTCTCGATATTAAACGTTTTAAATGAATTCTAACTCAAAGGCAAACATTAAAAAAATAATGGAAAGAAAGCCCCTGACAAAAAATTTAACTTTTTTAAAAACACCTTGTAAATGAGCTCATACTTTTATGAATAATTTTATTATAAAACCCGTTTGTAGTACAGTGTATGTTGCAATTTCACAGTGATGTTTAAGAAATAAGATATCATTTTTACAGTTTCATTGGGATATGCCATGAAGTTGGTCACGTGATTAAATCCTATAACGCCCGAAGGTCGTTATCGCAAATTTGATCACGTACTCATGTCATATCAATGACACTCTAAAAATGGTATTTTAGTTCTTATATTTATAATGTATTTTTATTCGTATTACAAAGAAAAAAAATAGACACAATTTAGATAAAATACAACATTACGTAACCGCTGCGTTATGTGACGTCGCAATCGGAACTTTCCAAATAGCTCCTGCAGTTCGCTTTACGTGTGCAAGAAAGTCTGATCACATGACAGACTGCATTCATTGAAAAATGAATTTACCGGTTATTTTAATTCGTATTGTCGTGTAAGGAAAGGCAATGGCAAATTTAAAGATACGGCATATTTATATTGATATTCGAAGCATGAATTTATTGTATGCGAAACCTACAGAATTCACACAAAATACGCACTTCTTTAAATGCAGCATTGCCAAGAAAAAAAGACTAGAATATCTCTAATTCCTTTCAAAAAAAAATAATACTAGCATATTTTTCTGTATACGGAAGACATATTAACGCCAAGTCCGCATCGTTGCCGTCTAAATATTATTACTCGCCTTTTTCGTGAATATACATGTATTAGATGGAAGGCAAGGGACATCTTTTATCAAATACAGAGGTTATTTCATTTCTAGGCAAAACAAGATACCGGTATATGAACGGAAGGTATAGGTTGGTACGTAGAAATTTTTATGTTAACTCTTCTTGTTATTTATTATTTTGACATATGTTACGGGTAACCACTTTTTGTTTTCTCCCGCAGGCGTTGTAGCGGGAAGTTTTTTCACAGAGACGGGAAACGGAGCTAACACATTATGTTTACCACATGATCCGGATTCAGTTGACGCCAACTTTCCAATTAATCATAGCGACGGCATTGCTCATCTCTACGGAGGAGAGTACCAGTTTAGTTTCAAGAATGTAGTATATCAGGATGATGTCCCATGTGCCGTCTGTCGCGTGACACAAGCAACGTCTGCATTAATTATTCCAGGAAAACTATCGTGTCCTTCAGGATGGGTAAAACAATACCAAGGATTTCTGACTTCAAATGCTTATAATGAACAAAAATCAGAGTACCTCTGCCTGGACGACAATCCGGATTTCATTGAGAGATCTAGAGTAAATGAAAATGGGAAGTTATTTCATCCTGTTATCACCATATGTGGAACTCTGCCATGTCCACCGTACAAAAATGGCACCTATGTCCCATGTTCTATTTGTACCGCTTAAAATGTTAATAAATGGAAAAAAAAAGTTTATCCCAATATTTTGAATAATTTGTTCTGTTCTTCAGCGAGTAACACCCCAGTCACATTACCAAAAATGACCAATGACCGACGGTTTTTGAAGCAAAAATGGGATTCTTCGGGTAACCGTCGGCAGATCATTGACTGTTGCATTGCTCGATTTTGACCTTTTTCTCGCCGGCTGACTAATGTTTTGTCCATCGGTCCAAGTTATAATTTTTTCTGCATCAGTGGCCGATTTCATCAATTGAAGCAATCCGCCGACCAACCTTCGATCATCGTAGGACCATTGGCGGTCAGTTTTAAAGTAGGTCGTTCGTCGTTCGACAACAAGGATTTTCCAAAATTTCGGTGGATGGTTAAAATTAAACTGTAGCTCAGAGCTCGATGATCGGTCGAGGATTAGCCGACTTATCAATATATAACCATTAAGGATGCATAACACGAACTTAATTTTGATGCATGGATAATATGTATTTTTTGAATGGAAATGACAAAAATTATAATAAATAGAAAGCTTATGTTTTCTTTGCTGCTGAGATATGCGCTTTTTTGTCGTTTTCTATGTGACTCTGCACTCATTTGTAACATTGTGACACAATCTTACAAATTTCTCCCACTCTACTCTTTTGAATATAGATATATATGAAAAATATTTCTGAAGGAAAAAATTAATTAGTCAAGTTACCGAAAATGACATCAACATCGACACATTAAATGTTAATAGTTTAAAATAGCTTTTTCCTATTATTTTTTATATTTTTTTTTAGGTCACCTGAGTTACTCAGGTGACCTATTGCTATCTGTTTTCGTCCGTCGTCGATCGTCGTGTGTCGTGTGTTAACATTTGAACATTTTCAGCTTCTTCTCTGAAACCACTGAACCAGTTTCAACCAAATTTTGTATACAGCATCTGTGGGTGAAGGGGAACAACAATTGTGAATTTCTTGGTCCCTGCCCCCCTGGGGCCTGAGGGGTGGGACCAAAACCACTAAAACTAATGAAATCTTTAAAAATCTTCTTCTTTACTCCTGGATATCAAGCGGGCAAACTGTTAGCATGAATGTAATGAGCATTGAGTCCTCTACCAAAATTGTGAAATTCATGGCCCCAGGGTCAGGGGTTCTGGTGTTAGGGCGGGGCTCTATAGATTATATAGTGAAAATGCATTATTTCTTTGAAAATCTTCTTCTCTGCTCCTGGGTACTAAATAAACTAACTAAGCACATAGTTATGATGAGCAAGAGTGCCTCTTCTAAATTTGTGAATTTTATGGCCCTAGGGTCAGGGGTTCTGGTGTTAGGGCGGGGCTCTATTGATTATATAGCAAAAATGCATTAAATCTTTAAAAATCTTCTTCTCTGCTCCTAGGTTTTAAATAAACTAATTAAGTACATAGTTCTGATGAACAAGAGTGCCTCTTCCAAAATTGTGAATTTTATGGCCCCAGGGTCAGGGGTTCTAGTGCTAGGGCGGGGCTATATAGATTATATAGTGAAAATGCATTATTTTTGAAAGAAAATTTTCTTCTCTGCTCCTAGTTATTAAATAAACTAACTAAGTACATAGTTATGATGAGCAAGAGTGCCTCTACCAAAATTTTCAGTGAATTTTCTTGCCCTAGGGTCAGGGGTTCTGGTGTTAGGGCGGGGCTCTATTGATGATATAGTGAAAATGCATTAATTCTTTGAAAATTTTCTTTTCTGCTTCTGGGTATTAAATAAACTAAGTACATAGTTATGATTAGTAAGAGTGTCTCTTCCAAAATTGTGAAATTTATTGCTCAAGGTTCAGGGGTTCTGGTGTTAGGGTGGGGCTCTATTGATTATATAGTGAAAATGCAGTAATTCTTTGAAAATCTCCTGTTCTCTTGGGTATTAAATAAACTTACTCAGTACATAGTTATGCTTAGTTAGAGTGCTTCTTTCAAAATTGTGAATTTTAAGGCCCCCGGGTGAGGGGTTATGGTGTTTTAGGGCAGGGCTCTATTGATTATACAGTTAAAATTTAATGCGTTAATTCTTCAAAAATCTTCTCCCCTGGGTATTAAAAAAACTAATTACATTGTAAGTACAGAGTTATGATGAGCAAGAGTGCCTCTTTCAAAATTGTGAATTTCATGGCCCCTGTGTCAGAGGTTTTGCCATTTGGTGTAAGGGGGGGGGGCTCTTTTGATTATATAGTAAAAATAGATTAATTCTTTGAAAATCTTTTCCTTTGCTCCTAAGCATTATGCTAATGATCCAAGTATATATATTTATGATGAAGAAAGGTGTATCTAAGCAAAATGGTTAATTTCGTGCCCCCAGGGTCAGAGGTATCCGGGGGGGGGAGGTACAAAGTCTGAAAATAAAGTAATGCTTTAAAATCTGCTCTTTGGTATTAATCAACCATTTATGATAAGATAAAATAAAATTTCCAAAATTTTGAAATATGTGGCTCCAGAGTCAGTGGTTCCTTTTGGGTGGGGTGCACAACCGGTTATAACGTGGAAGTGCATTTTCTCTTTGTTACTCTGATCTACCTCTGGGCATTAAGTAAATAGCGTAAGCATGCCAAGTTTATATTTATGATAACCAATGGTGCCTCTTTCAAAATTGTGAATTTCATGGCCTCTGGTTTAAAATTCGAACCAAATTCAATTGTTGGAAAGTTGTTACATGATACTCAGGTGACCTATAAGGGTCTTGGCCTTGGGCCTCTTGTGTGTTTTTTTTTTTTCTTTTTTTTTTGTTGTTGTTGTTGTTGTTGACATTTAAGACTTTTGCAGAACCACTTTGTCAATTTAAACCAAACATGCCACATAGCATCTCTAGGTGACGGGGATTCAAGTTTATTTGAATGAAGGGCCACGTCCTCTTCCAAGGGGAGAAAACCTGAAATATAGAAAATTTGGATTTACAAATCCTCTTCTCAAGAACCACTGAGCCAGGAAAAATGAAACTATAGAGCAACATTCTCAGCTAGGGTAGACTCAAGATCAAATCATGACCCACCCGTCCCACCCCCTCCCCCGGGGGACTGCAAAGGATGAGCAGTTTTATTTAAGAAATAAGATATCATTTTTAGAGTGTCATTGGGATATGACATGAAGTCGGTCACGTGATCAAATTGTATAACGCCCTTCGGGCGTTATAGTAGATTTGATCACGTACCGACTTTATGTCATATCCCATTGACAATCTAAAAATGATATTTTATTTCTCATATTTATATCTTTAGTTCTATTCACATTACAAAGAGAAAATGCTCTATTTAGACTTTGTTATTGAATGCAACATAACGTATAAATACGACGTCATATGACGTCACAGTCAAGACTTTCCAAATGTCTCGTGCAGTTTGCTTTCCATACGCAAGAAAATCTATAATGTGACCGTCTGCATGTCATTGAAAATTGAATTTCATTTTTTTAGTATTGTCATATAAGGAAAGACATTGGCAAATGTAAATATTTAAGAAATAAACAACGTAATTCAGTGAACATGGCGTTATGAATAGCAATTGCTCTGTTTTCATATTCCATGATGCGCGCTAGCGCATCATGGAAAATATGCCATAAGAGCTTTTGCTATTTGTAATGCTATTTTCACTGAATAATCGCTGTTTATTACTTATATTTGCATTCTTTGATTTTTTCAAGAATGTCAGAAGAAATCATGACTTACATAAGGACGTTGCTTCTTGTCTTCAGTAAAGTAAAACATAGGCTTTAAAATCAGTACACCTGATCAATGCTCCTTTTCTCTAATAAATCACAAATAATTTATAAAGTATTTCCTCTCAAACACAGTTATCCGGATACAAGCAGCGCCGTCATCACATTTTCTTAATTTTTGTTTTGATGCAGTTGTTACGTCATCGATCAGCGTTATTGATACCCTCTGACAAAAATCATTATGATGAAAAATGAGAATGCTTTTATAATGATTATTACTCCAGAATGGTTTTCTATGATTTTTTTTTTTAGTTTTTCTATTTATTTTTAATAGTTGAAATCGTTCTTGAAATAGATAATACTAGTAAATTTTCTCTTTCTGAATGTTATAACCCAAGTGTGAAGAGTTGTCGTTCTTTGTACAAATATGCATGAAACGAAAAAATAAAATATGCAATTTTCCACAATTTTTAAAAAGTTTTATTATACAATTAAATACTAGTACATTGACCAAAATTGAATTTTTAAGGATATAAATCAGCAATTTTAAATATTCTGAATTTCTTTTTTTTTTCCAACGAATATTATTACAAACTTATTTTTATTCCTCTCACGAAACATTTCATATATATACTTAGTAGAGCTTGTCTACACGAGTGTGATAGACTAGAGCAATTGCACTCATAGCAGAAGCAGTTGCATCTATAGCCCTGTGAACGCAGTTGATGTCTACATGTTCATAGTGGGAGAGAGCAGTGGATATGCAAATATTTACTTATATTTGCATTCTTTAATTCTTTTTAAGAATATCAGAGGAAATCCTGACTTACATAAGGACGCGGCTTCTTGTCTTCTGTAAAGAAAAACATACGGTTTTAAAATCAGTACACCTGATTAATGCTCCTTTTCTCTAATAAATCACAAACAATTTATAAAGTATTTCCCTCTCAAACACAGTTATCTGGATACAAGCAGCACCGTCATCACATTCCCTTAATTTTTGTTTTGATGCAGTTGTTACGTCATCGATCAACGTTATTGAAACCCTCTGACAAAAATCAATAATACAACCCTTTGATGAAAAGAGAATGCTTTAATAAGCATTATAACTCCAGAATGCTTTACTATGATTTTTTAGTTTTTCTATTTATATTTTAATAGCTGAAATCATTCTTGAAATAGATTTGCTAATTAAAGAAATTTTCTCTTTCTGAATGTTATTACCCAAGTGTGAAGAGTTATCGTTCTTTGTAAAAGTATGCATGATACGAAAAAATAGAAATATGGAGTTCTATTCAATATTTAAAAAGTTTTATATTACAGTT